CTCGGAACCGAGCACATGTGAAGATGGTTACACAACAGTAGAGGATGGCCAGGGCTCCAAGGTCAGAAGACGCAAATTCAAGATTGGTGACTTCGTCCAGCGTAGAGTAATAGTCCTTACACCAGGAGAAGGGAAGCTCCGACCAAACTGGGAAGGGCCGAGGCATAGCCCAGCCCAACACACATAACAGCCCCGCCAGACATGCTTCGGCTGGAAAAAGAAATGCACAAGGAAAGCAACATATGGACAATGAAGAAACATTAGTATTCAACCCAAAATCGTCCATTACATCATTTAAGGCTCGGCATACCGAGCCCAAAAAAAAGAAAAATGGAAGAAAGGCAGCCACTCAATCCTCGACAACAGAGTCAGCAGCACCATCAACGGCGTCGACCTCGTCCCCAGACTCTTCATCAGCTCCCTCGGCGAATCCTTGCGGGGAGTCTGGATCGAAAACACCCTAACCCTGCGACCCGTCGGCCAACTCCAGGTGACGGCGAAGGATCCTTCGTCAGAAGAAATTGAAACCAGCCACAAAGGAAGCTTCGGTGTACTCGTCCATCTGCAGCTACAACTCCTCTGACGCCTTGTACTCATTGACTGCCTCCTCGACAGCCTCTTACCTCAGCCTGGCTCACTCCGCCTTAAGCTTGGCGATCTCTCGCTTCAGCTCCCGGACAAGGCTGGCTTGCTCGGCCAGCTGTGCCTTCAGCTCAGCCACCTCTCTCTCTAACACGGCCTACCACTCCTCAACAGCCTGAAGCTCGGCCAATTGGGCCTTCTATCGTAGGTACTCAGAGTGTTCCCATTCGTATGCCGACCGGAGGTCTCGGACATGATCAACTAGCTCGACCGCCGCACAAGCATTCTACAAAAGAAACATGATAAGAATATCGAAAAAGAAAGCGAAACACAAGGAATAAGAGGAGGGGACTTACCTGGGCAGCAGATCGTAGAAGCGCACACTCCAAGGCTTCATTGCCGACCCCAACCGATTCCCGAGCTATGGACATTGTAATGATTCCTTGCAGTAACTACTTGGGAACCCCATGCATCTCCAGATTGTCATCCACACTAACCGAAATCCTCGACACGTGCAGACCCGAGTTGCTGCCTACCTCAATTTCTGACGCACCCACAGGACGACGAACCCCTTCAGGATCAACCACGACAATATCGTCATCCTCGGCCTCCCGCTGCCGGACTCTCCTTTGTCGACGAGCCGCCCTGTCCGCGGATCATGACTACTCTTCTGTCTCAAGACGAGATTCCGGTTGCACACCAGCTCGCCCTTGTCTTTGCCGAAGTGCCTTCATCCGGCGAACAATCTCTTCCTCGTTGGCCATACTAATACCTGCAACACAGGATACCCAAGGTAAGTAGAAAGCAGGAAAGGTAAATTTAACTCGACGAGCAAATAGTAAAGGAAATAGATCGGCCACCCTCTCCATCAACCGGGCGAGCATCTCTGAGCATGTGTAAGCATAAACGTCAATCTCGTGGATCATGCTCAAGGCCAACCTCTCCTCCCAAATGAGCGCCAACCAGTGGGGCTACAGCAGAGTCGTCCTCGGCTCCCGCAGCTCGACGGGAAAAGGGAGACCCCCGAGAACACGCACAAAGAAGAATGACTCCTTCCAGTGCTTCACAAAAGAAGGGGCCCCAACCAGTGACCGAATGTTCCGCCTACTGGAGAAGTAATAGCACCCCTACTGGTGGTGTTTCAGTTGGAACATAAAGCTCACCATCCCCAGGGTCAATTCGATATCGCAGACGGCGCAATAGGACATAAGGCCGAGCAAGAACCTCGCTCAATGGGAACCTTAGCCCAGCCTCCAAGCAGTGCTCATAAACGCATAGCTCACCGGGCTGAGCATCAGTGGCCATCTCCCTGGGTTGCAGACACCTCATTTGGTATTCCGCAGGAATAGCATACATAGCTCGGATCCGAGCCATATCCCTAGGCGCCAAGACGTAGGGTGTGGTGCTGAACCGGCAACCTGCCCATAGAGGAAGCTCCGCCTCCATATCGGAGGGACCAATCTCAGCCTCCTCAACTTTGGCGGCTACAAAGTCTCTCAGCTCGGGCTCATAGTTCGAGCCATGAGAAGAGCTAGAATCGAAACTACTGGAGTACTCGGAAGAGGAAGAGGACCGACGAGATGAAATAGACATACCGGGAAAATTACAAAGGTCCAACCTTTGACACGGAGGCCCGCAGTACCGGTCCAACCTTCGATGCGGATCCTTGGCTAGGCCGAGCATTCCCCCTCCTCGACAGCAAAACTGGGGGAGTGGTTCGGGAACCAAAATTTTGGTTCTCGTTTAAGTTCTATAGCCAACGATCGGAGGACTCCTTAGCAACGACCAACACGGCGTGGACGATACGCATGCCCAAAAGTTCCTCAACCAGGCAACGAACGTAGGGGACCTCATCCCTCGACTTCGGAACTAGGGGAGTAATGTTGGGGACATGGCTGAGTTGGCCCAGAGGCCCATGGCCACGTCAGCGTAATCTGGCCGAGCTACGATATTACTATAATCCCTCACTGACCACGTCAACTACGTGCCACACGGATAAGTTCGCATAGCGGATAAGGTGGGAAGACCCTACTCCAACTATGATACGGACTCTCCGGCTATAAAAAGGTACTCAATGCTCGAGGTAAGAGACCCCAACTTCTGACACCCATACTGCTACTTAGCTCGGACCAGCACCCTTATTGCTCGGCCCAACCATCCACCACCTCCTACTGACTTGAGTGTCAGAGTACTTACCCGGGGATAACTCCTCGGACCTCTGACTTCTTTCTTGATCACAGGTCTTAAAGCGCGGCCTCGTCCTTGTAGCTCGGCCCTGCCCAGTTAGCAAGGACTATCTGGTTGCTCTCCTCAATTCGTGCACCACCTCGGATTTGTAGGTTCAAAGTACATTTGGGATAGGTGCCAGCTCGAAATTGATGCCAATTCATGGGCGGGTATGGGTGCATAGAGTGTGGGTTTTTAACCTTTTGAATGTTTATAGCTCTGCATTTGAAATCAGAAATCTACATTAGGCCTGTCCGTACTTATCCGTAAAAACTAAAAAGTAGGCAAGAATTCCCACTGAGAGTCGGCAGCCAAAGATTCCCGATAAAATGTGCCTCCACCCCTGGTTGAGCATTTGTTCTGGCCCGTTGCTATGTAGCTTTAAATTCTTCAAATCAGGTACTTCACTTGCAAGTTTCAATCTAAAGAAAAACATTCAACGTGATTTGTGTTCAAATATGATCCGAATTTATGAAAAGATGTTCGGATACAGATCATGTTGGAAGAGTGTTGAAACAATTTTTGTTGGGAGGAGATCCAAAACTCCTTACTTGCACTGAGAGGTGTTCATGGTCTAGTTTGGTGTGGTTTAGCGAAGATCTCAAATCAAACCAGTAAATTATGGTTTGAAAAATTAATTCCCAAACAAAACCATACCATTGTGGCATGGAAATCAAATTAGACCAAACCGTTTTATTATGGTTTGGTGTGACTTTTCATACAGTTTGGGGAACTTTGGACCATTATTTGATTCTATTGGGCTGAACCAATTAGAAAGCCCAAATAGCACCCCTAAAAATTAAAAACAAAAGAGTTTATTCTATATTTATAATTTTATACATTGTGTTGAAAAGTCCAAAGTAACAATTGAAAAATGTTTCAAAGTCCATTTTACTCTTTTTTACTTATTGCATATAAAGCACACAGAATACCTAATTATTACTACCTGATCAATATTAAGATTGAAATGAAAAGTTGAAAATATATTAAAAAAAACTAAGTAAAATAAAATTTGGAGATGGTATTATGATAAAACTGTATTTATTATCTATGAAGGAGGCTATTTCAAGTGATTTCAGAATATATATTTCAATGGAAAATTGTATTTTGTTATCAAGGATGTATATTGGAAAAAAATTATTTCCACAAATTCTGTCTCTTTGGTTAGAAACCCCCTCTGATTTTACTGAAATCACAGGGGAGGAGGAAGCTTATTAGTTACGCATCAGATGACTGGTATCTTGTAAGGCTTCATTGTTGGATGGGCAAAGGGTCGGATCAGCTCGGACTGATGAGCATGGCTTTCATTGTGATTTAACTTTGTGGTCTAATTATTTTGTTTTGGCGTTTCTGTGTGTTTGGTTAGTTTTACTAGATCTCTGGTGTCATCTGGTTGATTGGTTTCTTCGTTTTTCGCAAGATTGCTTCATCATTTCCATTGCGTTCCCTTCATCCATGTCCACGTACAGAGATGGAGAAATTTTCCGTCCAAGTGGAAATCCGAGAAAAAGGAGAAAAAACTCGATCCGTGAAAACCTCTCTGTGTCTTCTATTTCTCCATGGTCCATGCATGTGAGACTGAGATACTGTGATGGTGATGACGGAACTCGGAAGTTACTATTACTAGCCGCCCTGCCTGAGCTGAGTATAACTTCATCTGAAACTGTACGTACGTAGATGTGTTTTATTATATTTATTTATTGATCACCTGAACTGCATTTATTGCTGATCCGCTCTGGACTGCGACCTTCTCGCTTATAAAACGTTCTGTCGATGAGATCCTCGTCATCATCACCCACAAATCTAAACTTTTAATCTACTTCTTCCGATTGGAACTGGAGTCAGGGTGGCTGCCGAACTTCGAGAAATTCTAGTCAAATCAGTCCCTTGGATTTGGACTCTCTCTCTTTCTCTCTGGGCATGGAGTGCGCCGCAAATGAGCTTTCCTGTCGATCGATTCATGCCACCGCCCCCGGCCACTTAAAAAAAAAAATTCTCCACTAGTTTAGTATTTGTGATTTGTTATATATTTAAGGTGCCAAGCTGCAGCTTAAACCCATGCATAAAGGGCCAATTGCACTTGCACCTCTCTATCTCTTATTCTTTTTCTCCTTGCTTCACCGAGGAGATTCAACTTCAGGTACGTTCCTATTTGTTTATCCTTTGGCCTCTCTATATCTGTTTGACCATTAATCCATGCATTTAGTCAATTCTCTGTGGTTCAGCTTATAATGCTTAAAAGATCAGCTGCTCATCTATAATACACAGCTCCACTCGGCCATCTACGGCCTGAATTACGTTTGAAGTGGATATGTTTTAGAGTCTGATCATCAGCTTATAGGCATTAATTTAGTTTTCAGTTTTAAAAAGCTCTTTCGCAGTTTGGCTAAGAATTATTGTTTTTAATTGACAGAAACGTTCCTTTTTCTTCTATCTTTTAGCAGAAATTGGAATCTTGGAGAGTATATATTTTCTCCTGGTATGATCATGATAAGAGCTGTGTTCTTGAATCTCTTTGTTGGAGCTTTAGCCTGTTTAAGGGTTTTCCTGCTGGTGGAAGCAGAAGACCCTTACAAATACTTCACCTGGACAGTGATCTATGGGACAATATCTCCTCTTGGTGTTCCTCAACAGGTTCGGTTATCAACCCACCCAGATTAATGTTCAGTCTAATGACAGTATGTGGTTAGAATAATTTAATTGGACATGCTTTTTGCAGGGAATTCTCATCAATGGGCAGTTCCCTGGTCCACGAATTGACTGCGTGACAAATGACAACATAGTTGTAAACGTTATTAATAAATTGGATCAGCCCTTCCTAATTACATGGTCTGCTTTTCTTCTGATCTCTTCTCTGTTCTATCATCATTACTTGTTTCAAATCTAGCCAAAGCGCTTTCTGGGTGTTTATTACGATGAAGGATCTGGGCATTGGAATCCTTCCAAGATGTGGGTAGGGAAGAAGTTGCACCAGTGTATTATCTTCTTTAATTTTCACATTCAGAAATGAAGTGAAATTCCTAATCCTACTATATATCTATTTCGACTTCCTATCAATAGATACATAGAGTTTATATATAATTACTATCTGGGTTCAATCTTTATTGAGTATATGCTTGTATTAAATCTTTCGGTTATAGATTATAGTTTAATTAGTTGGGATTTGTAACTTGTTTTGTCAAAACTAGGAATGGAGTGAAACAAAGGAAGAACTCATGGCAAGATGGAGTTCTGGGAACCAACTGTCCAATTCCTCCAAACTCAAATTATACCTACCATTTCCAGACGAAAGATCAGATCGGAACCTTCACGTACTTCCCATCAACTTTGATGCAAAGAGCTGCCGGTGGCTTTGGAGGTTTCAACATCTACGCAAGGCCTGGAATATCAATTCCTTATCCTATACCTACCGACGAGTTTACTTTACTTGTCGGCGATTGGTATAAGGCCGGTCATAAGGTTAGTAATCGCAGGAGAAGCCATGCATGCTAGCAGTTGTCTTTCTCTAAATCAAGTGATCAGAATTTGACCATGCTTTCCGGTTAATTTCTCTTTCAGGCATTACAGCAAACACTGGACTCAGGAAAAAGTCTTCCTTTCCCTAGTGGTCTTCTTATAAATGGTCATACGAGTTCCTCCTTCACTGGAGACCAAGGCAATTCTCCTCACCGAAGGCACCATTAATTATTTTTATATATCGATTGTTTGGTTCTCCGAATTGATATGATAAGTGGGTATTTGGTTCAGGGAAGAGCTACATGTTCAGGGTCTCAAATGTGGGGTTGTCGACCTCGATCAACTTCAGAATTCAGGGTCACCGATTGAAGCTTGTTGAAGTAGAAGGATCCCATACCGTTCAGGACTTCTATGAATCTCTGGACGTACATGTGGGCCAATCTGTGGCTGTGCTAGTCACCTTAAACCAGCCACCAAAAGACTATTATATTGTTGCTTCTGCGCGCTTCACAAAGCCTATTCTCACCACAACAGCAATACTTCACTATTCCAACTCCCACACCCCAGCTTCTGGACCCTTGCCTATTGCTCCTACTTACCATATCCATTGGTCGATGAAGCAAGCCAGAACCATCAGGTAATATCAGCTATGTCTCTTTTCTGTTTCATTGAGACTAAAGAACTAAGAAGAAAAAGTAGTAGCTCTTAGGAGTGAGCATGGGCGGGTTCGGTTCGGTTCTATGGTAGAAATTGGAATCTACCCTGTGAAGATTGGTTCTAGGGTCGGCTTTAGCCTTGGTGGTTCCAGTGTCGATTCTAGAATCTACCCATGGAACCTGTACTTTTTTACTCTCCCTTAAAACCTATATTATCTTTATCGATTAAATTGGATAACTTAATATGTGTAGATTATCATTATATGGTTAAAAACTTATAAATTAAATTTAAATTTTGTAAATATTACCTTTTACACTACTTATCGTAAACATTCAAATATTAACATGAAAACAAATGATCAAATCACTTAAGTAACTCAATGGTCAAGTGAGACCATGGCCTTTGTAGCCATGAATGCTTGAGTTCAAATCTTCACATCCCCAAAAGTATTCTAAGGTTTATTTCAAGGCAAGTTCGATTCCAAGGTAGGTTCCAATAGCGTTGATTCCATTAAGGCCAATTAGGGGACTAGTTCTCGAGTTGAATAGTCTGACCGCTCGGTTCGGATGAACAACCCGTTCTGACTTATAAAACATAAAAATTGAAAAAGTGGTCAAAAACCACAATCCAGGTAGTCGACGATTCGACTGCCTCGGTCAATGGGTAGGGTCGTCAATGGGTCTAGGTATGGGTTGGAACCAAAACCGACCCAACATGAAACGTTGAGGGCTCAAACCTAGAACCGAACTAATCGGTTCTCAAGACAATCGGATCTAACCCGACAGACCCGATTATAATAAAAAAATAAATATTTATGTTTAATATATATTAAATATTCTATACATACATTATACATTATATATTATAATATATATATATAATTTATTTAATATATTATAATATATATATAATCGGGTCGGGTCTGAATCGGTTCAGGACTAGGTGGAACCGGTTTCGAATCGATAGTAATCGGGACCCTATATCAAGACCTAGAACCAATATGTTGGTTCTAGTTCTCAGAACCAGAACTAGTCCAATAGATTCGTGTCCATCAAGTCTATCGAGTCGAACCTAACCCATTGACAGCCCTATCAACAATTCTCTAACCAAATCAGTGGCTTTTGGCCAAAAAGCAGTTTTAGGATGAAATGGAACCTGTTACCAGACTAGTTCCCAAGTTTTCCAATCCAACCGTCCAGTCTGGTCTAGTTTTCAAAACCATGGTTTTGACTTATAATATGGGTAAGTGAGTTTATCTAGACAAGTGTTTCTTAGGCAAATGTTGCTTGAATAAGATCAATGCCAACATTATTGTGTGTTTTTGCTTGCCTAGGTAAAGAGAGAGGTAGGGTTGTTAATCGACTGGTTTTGGATTGGATAAGAGAGAGGTAGGGGTGTCAATCAACTGGTTTTGGATTGGATCCTATCCGATCCAAATCTTATCAAATCGGATTTGGTCCATTATAATTATTGGATTGGGCAAATCCAAAATAAATTAGTCCACATTCTTATTGGTCTGAATTGGACCTAAATCAAATTTCCAATAATCCGATCATGAAGCTAAACCCTTGTCCAATTTGAAACTAATCAAAACTAAAACTGGCATAAAATCACTTCTATGAAAGTACTTTTACGAAAGCACTTTTACGAAAACACTTTTATAAAAGTAATTTTATGAAAAGTACTTTTACGAAAGCACTTTTACAAAAATACTTTTATGAAAGCACTTTTACAAAAATACTTTTACGAAAGCACTTTTATAAAAGTACTTTTACATGAAAGCACTTTATGAAATCACTTTTACAAAAGTACTTTTACACGAAAGCATTTTATGAAATCACTTATACAAAAGAACTTTTATGAAAGTACTTTTATAAAAGCACTTTTACAGAAGTACTTTTATAAAAGTACTTTTGTGGAAGTACTTTTATAAAAGCACTTTTACGAAAGAACTTTATGGAAGTACTTTTATAAAAGCACTTTTACGAAATCACTTTTATAAAACCACTTTTATGAAAGAACTTTTACGAAAGCACTTTTACGAAAGTACTTTTATAAAAGCACTTCTATGAAAGTACTTTTATAAAAGTAACACTTCTACGTAACTACTTTTACAAAGTACTTTCATAAAAGTGTTTTTGTAAAAACATTTTTATCAAAGTACCTTTATGAAAGATTGAAAGCACTTAAAAGTGCTTTTTCAATGCCAAAAGGGTATATTTTCTATAATTTTCAGATTTTATTCATTTTAATATATTTTTATAATTTTTATATATTCTGTTTTTTTATATATAATTTTTGATATTTCATTCGAATTGGATTGAATTTACTTTGTATGGGATTGAGTGCAATTCATTCATAAATGGACTCACATTAGACTGTATTGGATTGAACCAAATCCAGTCCAATTAACACCTCTAGAGAGAGGTAGGAGGGGATTAATGTTATCGGCGGATGACTAAGCAAGTAAGCACCACCCTCCAAAACAGTATTAATTATGGAGGTAACGTAAAAATTCGCTTCCATGGGACTAGTATATGGCATAATTAATAATGCAGGGATCGTGGCTGGCCATATTACTTTCTATAAAATCTCAAGTATTAATAATGCAGTTGATCTATTTGATAATAATATATGCTTTTTTCTTGTTGAAGATGGAATTTGACAGCGAATGCAGCAAGGCCGAACCCTCAGGGATCATTCCATTACGGCACCATACCAACAGTAAGGACGCTGGTATTGGCTAATTCTAAATCCCAGATAAATGGAAAGCTCCGTTATGCAGTTAACAGGGTTTCGTACGTTAACCCAACCACTCCATTGAAGCTCGCCGATTACTTCAACATCCCGGGTGTCTTCAACCTGAACACCATCCAGGACAAGCCAACTCCTGGTCCTGTTTTCCTTGGAACTTCCGTCGTAGGAACTGCCCTCCACGATTTTGTGGAAATCATCTTCCAAAACAATGAAACCTCCATCCAGTCTTGGCATCTCGACGGTTATGACTTCTGGGTTGTCGGGTAGGACTCTAGATCTGTATAAAGTATCCATGGTTCATAGTATCAATCAAGGTTCAAAGTATCGGTCAATATGTATCATGTTGGTGATTTTCCAATATGTCTCTACTAGGGATGTATCGGGGTTCTGACCGATTTAAGGGGTGGAGAAGTCTTAAACCGGCCTCTCTGAATCGGTTTTGAAAAAAATAAAAAAATGAATAAAAATATTATCGATATCGCCCGATACGCCTCTACTAACACATCAGGCGTATCGATATTTTGAACCTTGGTATCAATTAATAAACCGCAAAGAACAATGTTTCGATCACTATGGCTCTGAATGGTATGCAGCTATGGAAATGGGCAGTGGATACCAGTGAACAGGAAACGCTACAATCTATATGACGCTACCACTAGACACACTGTTCAGGTAAATGTCTCAAAGAACCCTTCTAACCTAAAAGGCTTAGATTGTTACTTGAAGTCTTTGAATAGAGGGAAAATCTATGATGCATAAAAGATATGATATGGAAAGAGTTTTGATCAATCAAAACCCACCCATGAATTTCGATAAATAACACCATGTTCCCTATTACATTTATGATTCTGGTTTATTGGTCAGTTGTTTTTCGGATATCATATCTTTTCTATATCATAGTCAAACTCATGAATAGATTATTATTTTCTAACACTCCTCCTTACATACCTTATACTTAAATTTAATTAATTATAACTAGGAATGAAACTATTTCAATTTTTTTGAATCATCTATATTAGAAATTTAGTTTAGGTTTTTTATTTCATTTTTATTGAAATGACCCACACTATTTATTATTTCATTTGAGATTCACAACTTATGCTTATATGATACATTTGACTTAGGTTACTTATTTAATTTAGAAAATTAAATCAGGTTAAATTTGCAATCAACGACCTATTTTATCCAAAAAATGGGACCCACATCATACAAAGTCTTTATAATGGCTCTTTATTTTAGTCTCATATCTTCTGTTTTTATCTATTTATTAATTATTTAATATTTTCATTAATTAGTCATTTTTCTTTTATCAGTTTATTTGATTTTTAATCCATTTATGTAATATTTGTTCTATTTTGTGCAATGTTTATCACTTTTCAAGAAAGTGGACTTGACCGCCAACACCTTATGAAGCGGTAGTAATCGTGTTCCGAGTGAATACTTATCATGAGTCTTTTATTTGTATGAGGAAACCTAATTACATAGCTTGGTATGGATCCCACATTATATCCACTTTTTTATGGTTTTCAAAATTGGATCAGACTAGACAGTCGGATTGAAATTGGGAATCGGTTACCAGTTTTGACCTGATAACTGGACCCCTGAGAGGTTTGATTGTCGGGTCGGTTTTAAAAACCATGACTTTCTTTTGAATTAATTAAGAAGGTATTTAAATTGATTACTTTTTGATGATTGAATTTTGATAGGAAAGTGAAAACATCCACTTCTTAGATCCTATTTCTTGAAATAATAGGATGCCCCACTTATTTGAGGGGGAATCTATAGTCTGACTATAAATAAATGAAGGCAATGAAAATCAAACACTAGACCACTTGATCAAATAGACTCTTATAATATCATCTCAAAAAACCATTCAAACGACAAGAAGTTTAAGCCATTAAGTGAGATCCCTAAATATATATTCGTTAAGCATTACACGTAATAAATTTCTCTTCTCTATGTGTCTTTGTATTATGTTTTTTTGCAGGTGTATCCAAAATCATGGAGTGCAATATTGGTGTCTTTAGACAACAAGGGCATGTGGAACTTAAGGTCTGCCATTTGGGATAGGCGCTATCTAGGACAAGAATTGTATGTAAGAGTTTGGAACAATGAAAGAAGCCTCTATACTGAATATGATATCCCCCCAAACGCTCTTCGATGTGGAAAAGTCGTGGGCCATTAAAATAAACAATAAACCCATTGTTAATGTATCTATGCATGTGTGGTGGCTTTATTTTTCAGTCACGATGGTGTGGCTGCCAGAAAAAGAAATGAAGAAATAAGATTACTGAAATTAAAAAGAAAGGAAAAGCTTTAGAAGTGTCAATTTGTTGAGGTTTCTTTCCTATCAATGGTCTCAATTCAATAAACATAGACTGTACTGACTTCTATGAAAACAGAGTTCGCTTAAATCTTTGTTTCTTCTTTTAATTTGCTTGTTAGACACGTCCGGACGTGTTTTTTTTTGGAGGTTAGACTTTGTTCTCATGAAAAAAAAAATGAAAGGTAAGTTGCTGAAACTTTCCATAAGTTTTTGATGGTTGCTGAAACCTTTTGTCAGGTTTGGTTATTGCAATCACTTTCCTTGAGCTTTAACGTAGTTACAAGCAGAGCCCTTTTGTTAAGATCCTCTAAAAAGAGGCACGAGAATGTCCAAAATATCTCTTGAGTTATAATTTAGGCTGGTTTTTAAAGAAAAAAAACAATACAAACTTTATGAACAACAACTAGGGGTGGATTCAAGCCAAGCCAAGCCAAATAGTTAGCTATTTGAGCTCATCTAGGCAAGGTAGTATGAGGCTCAAGCTTGGTTCGAGCTAGAACCTTAAGCTCGAGCTCGGCTCGAGTCAAAAGCTTATAAGCTCGAGTTCGGTTTGGCTCGAGCTCGACTTGAGAAAAATGTTTTATAAAAATAAAAAAATATATATAAAAAATATTTTTTATTTGATGTTTAAAAAATTAATAATTATAATAATTAGTTATTATTATATATAAAATAAAAATATTATATCTATAATATTTTTATTATATAATATTTTCTATAATATTAATAATAATAATAATTATTATTATTATTATTATTGTATGTATGTATGTATTTATGTATGTATGTATGTAGCTATTCGAGCTGGCTTGTGAGTCTAACGAGCCGAGCTTATTAGGTTCAAGCTTGGCTCAATTAATAAACGAGCCTGTAAATTGGTCTCAAACTTGAGTAGCTCATGAAGAGTTCGGCTTGGCCACCCCTAACAACAACAAAAAAAAAATATTTAAAATTATAATTTTACCTTTGAGTGATTGATATAAAAGGAAATTTTGAAAAATAAATCAATCTTAAAAAAGAGATTGGAAGGGTTTAGGGTAACTATTGATAGAAAGAGAAAACTCGAAAAATAAACATTTTAATTAAAAATAACTATATGGATATTTTGGACACTTTCATACATCTCGTAAGAGGGTTCTAATAGAAGGATATAGTTGCAATTGTCTTAGAAAGTTCAAAAGATGTAAATACTGTAACTACCAAAACTCAAGGAAAGTTTCAGCAACCATCACAAACTTCAAATTAAAGGAAGCATTAAACAATTTACCCAAAAATGAATAACTCTTCTATATGATTGAAAGCAGAACAAGGCTCCCACCAGTATATGCAGGGTTTGGGACAAATGTCCAAACAGGGTTGAATTGGGTGGATGATGAATCTATGCCTCATTGTTTTTGTTAAAATTTTTGAATGCTGATGGCTTTAAATCCACCGTTAAAAGGCAATTTAATAGAAACCAAAGTTTTCTCGGTTGAATTGATGCCACTAAATGCATATTGGAACTTGGAAGTATCATTGCATACTAATTTAATATGAGCAATTTTGCAAGGGAACACTTGAATAAATTAATAAGGGTATTTGCAAAAGAGCTCCCAGCCATCTAATTATAACATGGTTGAACCTACGGCTTGGTCTTAATGGGTTCAACTATTTTCTTTTCTTGATACTCCTACCTTTTTCCACAACATATACGGTTTTTCCTTCCTCAACTCTTTCTATTATCTCTTGTTACCTTTTATTTTTTCACTCAAAACTGCTTTTCCTCATGAATTTCTCCCTTATTTCTAATTTTCTTTACTCATGCTCTCCCTTTAGTTTTTCCCATGGTTTTCAAAATCGGATCAGACTGGACGGTCGGATTGGAAAAACCGGAAACCAGTCACTTGATCGGTTTTATTTTTTCTCAAAACCGTTGATTTTGGTCAGCAAACTACTAAACTTTCTGGTTAATCGTTCGAATCATTCGAACGGTTTCGACTGTTTTTTAATTTTTTTATTTTTTTTAAATATTTTTATTTTTTTGTCAAAACGGATCGACCATTCGGGTTGAACAGTTGGACCGTTCAAATTGGTAACCGGACCCCTGACCAGTTCAGTCACTGATTCGGTTTTAAAAACCATGGTTTTCTCATAATGTATTTTCAAAATATTTATAAAATTTAATTCAAATGTGAGATGAAGTACATATTCTCTCTCTCTCTCCTTTTTCATAATTTATTTTCAAGCACTTGTTCTCTTTCGCTAGTGTATTTCATTCTTGAAAATCCTCTCTATCTTTCCTACTTTCTCACTTCCACCCAAAATTAGTTTTCCTTCCTAAAGATTCCCTCTCCTACATCTTTTGGTCATGCTTGTGCACCAATGAAAATATATGCATGGGCTGGGCTGCCTCTGCTAGTTAATATAGCAAACCCCTAAAATTGGATGACTTACTTACACATGGTTGGCCTTTAATGAAGAAAATGGACAAATAAATTTTATTTTAAGGTTGTGTTTGGTTTGACAAAAAAGGTAGGGAAATGAAGTAAAATTATAGCTAAACTGGTGTGGATCCCACTCTAGCTAAAATCATGTTGTCTCCTAATTTAAGTTACAAAGTTATTTTGTTTCTTCATAATAAATCAAATCTAATTTTAGTTTCCTAACTCAAACAAGAGTCCAAGAAAAAAAAAGGCTTTCAAGATGTGGTTCGCATTCTCTAGATAAAGTGGGTTGCTTTATTCCAAATCAAATCACTCTAATTTAGTATCTTAGATCAAGTAAAAAACTTCAAGACTTGCCCCTCACATTGTGCTTTTCAAACAAATCAGACACCCAATTATAAACAAATTTTGTGCAAATGATCATTCATGGGAGAGTGAAAATCAAATATCTACACTTATGTAGTAAAGTGGCATCAACGTTCTAAATATCGATACAGGCTGATATGCCCTGATGTATTGGCTACTTTTATTTTTATTTTTCTTTTACCCTACCGGAGGGTCACCAAAACGATACGTATCATCTGATATGCTCAGGTACATTGCAAAATTTTAATCCATGAGTGGTACTAGTTGTTGCCTCCAAATAATTTTGCTTTTGACATTAAACACTCCATGTCTATCGACGGATACCCGTGAAGTGAGGATCCTCAATAGTATATGATGGTGCGCGATCTGGTCACTCCTAGCTGGAACTGGCTGAGCTCCTATCTGGCGATGGACGAGAGACACCTGTGAGGAAGAAGATGAAGGGTCCCGGGGGGCTCATCCGACGGGAACACTCCGACGATTAAGTTAGCAAGCTGGGAGAGAAAAAGAGAGAGTTGTAGAGAAATCAAAGAGCTAGAGTAATGATCACGCAATACCTTCACCCCTGGGGGTCGGAGTCCTTATATACTGGTCTTCTGGCATGTTAGGTGCAACCACCTCCAAATCTCTTTTGCCGCGATCTGCTGTCAAATAACGGCTTGGAGTGGCTGGCCGTTATTTGTCAGAGCTGTGCTGGCGGACAAAGGTGATCGTTGCAGAGTACGGTCCTGCCAGACAAGAAACAACCTTTAGGGTTGGCAGGCACGACACCGCCAGGCGAGAGATGTAGGTACAGACTAACAGGTACGGTTGTCAGGCAGAAAATCTCCTACGATACGCTAAGCTGCCCTACAGCGAGCTACCTTACACCGAGTTGCTAGTGATGCACCGAGGTGCTTCTCCAGGGCGGCTCTCTGAGGTAGCCTACTTGAGTTTAGGTAGGAGCGAGCTTATCCTACTTAGGGGGCTGACGAGCTTAACCCGAGGTGTCTTCACTTTGGAACGCTCCCTACTTGGGAGTCTTAGCTCGGGGTGCTCCCTATTTGGGAGTCTTAGCTCGGGATATCAGTGTACCATCTTGTAGCGAGATGCCACTTCTGGCGAGCTGTCAGGCTGGGTTATAGCGAGTTCGTTATGCTGAGTTGTCACTTATGTCGAGTCATGTCCATGTGTCCCCTTATTATGAGGTCAGGCCAAATCACCCTCCATCAATTGCCCCCCACTCCCCGGGCCAGGGGTCCTGACCTGGTGTGGGGAGTTCAGAACGTGACGGATGGATTTGGCTCAAAGTCTAGGTCGCCTAGTCAGATAGTTCGTTGGTCGGACCAGTTTGCTGCTCGGCTCAATCAAGGATAACCCGGGTTGCATACAGTTCACACGCGGACATCACACGATCTATTAGACTCTGCGGATGTCAAAAAATGCGCTAAACTAATTTCAACTCGGGGATCGTGCTGCCGGTTTTCTTGAGAGCCGTTGGATCATCCTGATCTTGACCGTTGATTCTCGGATATACCAGCTATAAATAGGGGGGGACCCGAGTCATTTTCTCCGCCATAAGTTCACTAGCGTTCACTCTAAGGTCGCGCTTAAACTCCTCAGCTCGGGTTTTCCAGTTCGTCAGCTTCCCGGTTCGGTCGCTTTCCCTTGGTGAGTTTCCCTAGCTTCTCTTTTTCAGTTCATTTCAGTTCGTAGTTATGTTAAACCGTAGTTTTGATAGTCTTCTAGATGAGCCCGAGGTGGGTACCTCGGCTCAATTTGGTGTCTCTGAGGCATAGTCAACCTATGAGGCGCGGGAGGCCTCGGATAACCCAACGTCCACCTCTCATCGAGTTCGGGTACCGGACAAGTTTGGTCCCTCAACTATGACTGTAAATAGACTTAAGGCCCTGATACGTCAATATAACCTTCCGAGGGAGTATACCTATAACCTTCTGCAGGCAACTTCCCTTGGGAACACGGTCATGATGAGATCGTGATTTTCGGAGAACAGCTCGCGGCTGGACTCCGTCTTCCTCTGCATCCCCTAATCATAGAGGTCTTGAAGTTTTTTAACGTCACCATAGACCAACTTCGCCCGAACTCCATCCGGAATGTGGTCGGGACAATTTCTCTCTGATTTGACTACGCCCTGCCCCTCAACCTCGACATTTTCTCCTCTATCTTATCCATAAAGAAAAATGCCTCTAGTGTTCTCCCCGAGCATAGGCGGGCCTACTACTTGTCCCCTCGCCCGGGCTATAAGTTGTTGCACAAGCTTCCTAGTAAAATCCCGGCCTGGAAACAGGATTATTTCATAGTCCACAATTTCGCGGGGTGGCCCTTTCCTACTCATTGGAGGGCGG